TATTATTATTATTATTAACATATATCTATATATACATATATATATACTCGCATTTAAACTATATGATTCTAGTCACCTGGAAGCAGCAACATTTAGAAATTCACTCACCCTTTTTGATATCTCCATTGATGGGTCGTCCATCGCCACTGTGGCGATCACCTTGAGAGTGCGATTTGGTCATGTTATTCGTGTACAACAGTATGCGTAACTTTCAAAACTAACTGTTTTAGATTTGATGCTAGTGGAAATACTGTTTATATTCAAATGTCGCTCTTCTCAATCTCTGTGTACTATAATTATATTTCTTCACCGTTGGGCTTGCCATTGGGCTTCTCTCTCAATTCTATTTATTTTCCCACACATATTTTATGATATTTGTTTATAGTATTTGTGTTTACACAATCGGAGATCTAAAAATAGTGATTACACTTTTTATTTATTTTTAGTTCAAATCTCATAATATTCCGCGTATATATTCCGCGTATGTTCCGCGTATGTACTGTAATATAAAGCGGTACCTACAGATAAACTTGGTACTCAATAGGCACTGGCCCAAAAAAAAACCCCTTATTCAGAAGGCTATGTAAATAAATATATAAAATATCATAGCCTTCGATTGTTTTATTATTTTTTTAAAAATAGAACAAATATAAAATAAATCCATATTCATTCATAGCCTCTATATCATAACCTTCTGACATATATAAAATGAAAAATCGTCCCAATTCTTAGGGGGGGTTTTAGTTTGTATGTAGTGAGACCCGTCCTCGAACGATCACCCACTCTTCTGGCATTTATTTATTTTTGTTTACTTTAATGCCCTATAGATACAATATATACTCGTATCATCCATTTATAAGGTTTTAAATAAAAGTCCAGTTCCTATAGTATTTATTTACTGGATGAAATTTTTGCTGTTCTTGTTTTTAATACATATTAATGGACTGAGTGCCCTGTGACTCGTGAGTCTGTGAGTGTGAACTATTCACTGAAGTCTGAACTGTGAACTGTGAACTGTGAACTGTGAGTGAAGTGATGTGAACGGTGAACTTGTGAACTGTGAAGTGTGAACTTGTGAAGTCTCTGAGACTCTGAAAGTAAAGCTTGCAGTTTGCACACGTGCGCAGGAGATTACTAATGAACCCTACTCCCTGTGTTATGAGGTATAACTCGTGTGTAGGACCAGTGAGTATAGGCCTATACTCTGTCATATAACCTTGTATCGAATTTTGAATTTTGAATTTAACCCAATGATGACCCGTAAACCGGTGACGTACGTGAGAGATAAATTCAACTTTTTGAACGACTCCTTGAGTCCTTGGCCGATTGGCGGTTTGGCCAAAATGCAAACAATCCTCTACAATGTATGTATTTAAAACTGTTTTTTTTTAAATACTAGAATAATGGGGGAGCCCCATCGGCCATCGGGGGCTCGGGAATCGGGACCCATCCGTAAAAACGTATACTTATTGAAATTTAAACGTTACAACGTAAAACGTAATGAGGGCCGCTGAGGAGAGACTGGACTCTGGACTCTGGACTCTGGACACTGAGAGTCTGAGAGCCTGAGACTTGAGACTTGAGACTTGAGACTTGAGACTTGAGACTTGAGACTTGAGACTTGAGACTTGAGACTTGAGACTTGAGACTTGAGACTTGAGACTTGAGACTTGAGACTTGAGACTTGAGACTTGAGACTTGAGACTTGAGACTTGAGACTTGAGACTTGAGACTTGAGACTTGAGACTTGAGACTTGAGACTTGAGACTTGAGACTTGAGACTTGAGACTTGAGACTTGAGACTTGAGACTTGAGATTGAGACTTGAGACTTGAGACTTGAGACTTGAGACTT